TTTATTATGAATGCGCGCGCTTTATTTGACGACTTGTGGACTGTTCAACTGCAACACCCGCTGACTGCAATGATAGAGCTTGGAATAGCCAGGACAATTTTTAATATAACTCCGACTGGATTCGTCTGAAATAAGAATATACACCTAGGATGCCTCGAGGGTGAGTAAAACACAAGCTAATTTTCATTTTTGGGTGAACTAACCCTTTACTGAAATATGCCAAAGATTTTGAGGTTGCACTGATCTGCATTGGTCATACAAAACGTGTGAGACTCGCTATCGTTTTCAGACCTGAGATTGTTGGTGCTGTTTCACTCCTGGGCTCCGGGCTGTGCTCCGCTGGACTCTCTGGCCTGCTGTTACCACCAGGGGGCGCTGTCCATGCGCGTGTCCAGGAAGGGCCAAGTTGTCAGTGCCCTCGAAGCTGATTGGCTGGAATTGACCGCAGCTTACTACCGCAAGGGCTGGTCATTGGTCGACTCCTTTGTATACTGGGACACACCTAAAGGTAGTTCTCGGACTTATTTTGGACTGTCACGATTCCCTGAGCTAGTTGTTTATCCACCTGACATATTTGTGTTTGTGAAAGGAAGATGTCAACATCCTCTTTAGCTCTTCCTAAGGAAGACGTTAAGATGATCATATAAGGAGTTACCTGATTGTTTTTACCAATCCAGAAGCCCAGTCATCTGATTTTTGTTGTTGTTTGTTTTTTAAGCCAAGTATATCTTTTCATTCTCAGAAGTCATCTTTTTAATCCTCGTCTTTATACATCCTCCACGTCTCCCTATCTTTAACCAAAGCCATATTTCCCTTCTCCTGTCTCCCACCACAACTAAATTTAGAGCTCACGTCCCTAACCTCACGACCGTGCTTCCTGTTTCACACCAGACTAATAGGAGCTAAATCAGATGTGTGTGTATGTTTGAGACATCTAGAGCTTGTAAATTTTGAACATGAAAAGCAGTTTACAAAGTAGCTCTATAATCTCGCTCTCTTCCCATGTCATATGTTCCCATATGTATATGTTTAATATGTGTGTACTGTATATAATGTGTGTGTATGTTAATTTGGCGGTCATTTTGGAATAAGACTTTCAATCGAAAGAAATCTCTTGTTCTCACCAAGGATACTTTTTTTTCCCCAAAATACACTAGAAAAATTTACATTGGGAAATATTATTACAGTTTAAAATAACTCTTTTCTATTTTAAAATGTAATTCATTCCTGTGACGGTAAAGCTGAATTTTCAGCAGTCATTATTCCAGTCTTCAGTGTCACATGATCCTTCAAAAATCATTAAAATATGCTGATTTGGTGCTTTTTTTTGTATTATTATCAATGTTGAAAACAGTTAAATGTTATTTGTGGATACATACAATTTCAGGATTCTTTGATTAATAGCAAGTTCAAAAACAGCATTTTTTTAAAAATAGAAATCTTACAAATGTCTTTACTGCCACTTTTGATCAATTTGATGCATCCTTGCTGAATAAAAGTATTATTATTATTATTTAAATCTTACCTACCCCAAACTTTTGAACATTATTATATGTGTATGTTGTCTACCTGTATATATTATAAAGGATATATAATTTAATTGCAGAAATGTTCTCTGTAATATTTGCAGTGTTGGCTCTACAATCTTATTCACTCTTCTTTCATCCTCTCACACATGTTGGTGCACATGGATTTATCCTGCTGTCTTACAAGTAGTTCAGTTTCATTATCTTTTGTAGGTCATTGACATACTTCCAGCACTGACTAAATGAGACCTACAAATTTTGTCTCAGTGGGTGAAAATATAGAATAACAGAATAAAATGGTCTCCTGCATTATAAACAGTCACTTTTAACATTCAGATCTGAATAATAATGATAAAAGGGCATCTTCAATAATACTCATGCTCCAGGTTAGGCATTTGAAGGATTAAATGAACATCCAGACATAACAATGTAAAAATCTAGCTGTGAATTGTCATTTACTAGTTCCTACAGTATGATGTAGATGTTTAATGGTTGTTTTTACAGGTGAGCCAGTGCCCAGGTCTCTAGAGGGGCTGTTTGTCTATGAGGAGAAAAGCATAGCGCCCCCTGCCAATGACACTATTGTAGTGGAACAGTGGACCGTTATAGAGGTGTGACTGCATGTATGAAATGTCTAAAAGGTGTCAAATTATCACATGAAGGAAGTTAAGTGTGTGCCATTTTATGTTGTCTTTAATGATTTCCTGTTTGTGTCACAGGGTTCAGATGTAAAGACAGACTATGGTCCTCTGCTCCACACATTAGCAGAATTCGGCTGGCTGCTCACTTGTGTGCTGCCCACCCCAATTATTCGCCATGACAGGTGGGACCCTCACAGTACAAGCCATATAATCATGTTTCTTTACACCCCATCACCGTATTTTTCTTTTCCTGCAGCGAAGGGAATCTCGCCACCAAGCAAGTTGTCTTCCTGCAAAGACCCGCCAAAGGCCAAACGGTACCAGAGCACAACCAGGTGCCTGTTTGCTAATGTCATTTTAAACAATTACATTTGTAAATCTGTTGCTTTACTTGTAATTTAGTCTATCAGGCATATTTCAAGGACACAATTTTCTATTTGCAGTCCCTTTTTTTGAGGAAGACCAACTTTTAAAGCGATAGTTCAACCAAAATTAACTTGAGATAACTTTTTTACATTTTGAACCACTCACAAACCAGTTATTTTAGTATTATGTTCATATATACATTTATTGTATTTATTCGTATTTTAATTTGGCTTTTATTTGTATATTTTCAGTTTTTATTTTATTACTTTAGTTTTTTTTATTGCTTTTTAGTGTTAATTCATTTTTATTTCTATTTTAGTTTAGTTTAAGCTTTAGTAATTTGTTTCAGTTAGTTAACAGAAGGGTTATCATCATCATCAGCTAAAACAATATAATTACTTGAAACAAATTAAATATTAACTAAAATAAAATATTAAGTTATTTTATTTCAGCTAGTTGGCAAGGCAACTCTTCTGATTATCATTCAGTTGACCATGAATTACTAACATAACTCAAACTAATAAATAAAAATTAGATTTTCTAATATTTATATTTTATTTTAGCTTTATTAAAAATTAATAATTTTTTTAATTTCAGTTAAATGTGACATATCATGAAAATCTTCGTTTTTCCGGTTTTAAGTGCTATAATCGGGTCCCCGGTGCATCTACCAACCCAGGAAACGTGAAAAAGATTAACCCAGTAACTTTGTTTTGGGAAGCCTTTTTCTGCAAGCGTCTGAAAAGACGAGCACGTCAGATTTCGCTCCCTCTGTGACGTGGCAAAGGGATCTTATTATAATATCACCGCCCCTTAATCTGCACGTTTCCACTCACAGTGCCGCCATTCTTGTTTTCGCAAGCCACAACGGTGTACCAGTTCTAACGTCATGGCAGAAACTAAGCATGCTGCTAACTGTTCTATCGTTAGCTGCACAGACGAGCACAGAACACTATTTAGAGTCCCAACCTCAGAAGAGACAAGACGGCAGTGGATTTATTTATTTACTGTATATTCGGTAAGCCTTTTCTGCAAGTGTCTGAAAAAACAAGCGCATCAGATTTTGCTCCCTTTGTGACGTGGCAAAGGGATCTCATTATAATATTACCGCTCCTTAATCTGCACATTTCCACCCACGGCGCCGCCATTGTGTTTTCGCAAGCGTAGCAGTTCTAGCGCCATGGCAAAAGTTCGAGCAAAGCATGCTAACTGTTCTATCGTTAGCTGCACAGACGAGCACAGAACACTATTTAGAGTCCCAACCTCAGAAGAGACAAGACGGCAGTGGATTTATTTATTTACTGTATATTACGCTGCTGCCACACGGATCTAAAATAAACCTGCGATTTATTTCCCAGCTGTTTACCTTCACAGACATAACCGACTTGTTTTTGTAACTCGTGTGTTTTTAACAATATTTTTTTGTATTTGACAGTTTAAGCACAATAAGACATGAAAGAGAGCTTAGTTTAGTACTCGCATGCTGTGACAGCCGCTTTCTGTGCGCGTGCTTCGGATGTATGCGCTCAGAAAAGTTTAAACTGATATGGCTTTAAAACGCATGATTTCAGCGCGATAGACATGATAATCAAAACTAAACAGATGTTTTTTTTTATCAGAGTATCTGACTTACAAGCTGTAAAGGAACAGCCCTATTCTGGAAAAGGGGGCGGGGAGCAGCAGCTCATTTGCATTTAAAGATACATGCACGAAAACAGTGTGTTTCTGCTTCCTCTCAAAATAGGCATTTTCAAAATGATACAATAAATGATCCGTGGGGTATTTTGAGTTGAAACTTCATAGACACATTCTGGGGACACCTGACACTTATATTACATATTGTAGAAAGGGGCATAATAGGTCACCTTTAACAATATTTTTTTATGAATAAAAAAAACAATCATACAAGGACATTAAAATCTTTTAATCCATTTGTTCTCTAAAATTTACCAAAAATTGCAGTTTTGACAGATTTTATGACATTATTTTGCATCTCAACCCTCTTGTTTTTGTTCCTCAAGGGATCCACGCGGCGAGAGGTGTGTAGTCACTCTGCAAGTCGGGGCGTGGATGAACCGCACACAGAGCTGTCGTCTCCATGTTCAGGGGGAATCGGCGGTTTCCCTGTGTTTGGAGGGGGGTATCCCAGTGCGCTGTCCCATTTAGATGAGGGAGGATTTGAGCCGGATGACGGGGCTGCAGAAGTCACCTGTATGTGATGGACCAACTCAAAGATGCAATTTCTTTCAAGTTCTGTCAGAAATCTTTGGCGGTTGAGAGTGGCAGCTGCCCTAGAATTTACCACATCACCAGACCACAAGAGATTTGTGTTCCTGTATTAGAAACAGACTCATAGCACTTTTAACGTTTTGTAAATTATTTTTTAACAAGCCATAACGTATCATAGAGGCCGGTTTTATTTACTCATTTATTTTTAATTGAAAGCACAAAGTTTATGTGCAATGATACTTTGACAAAGTATCAAAAATAGCACTGAAATTCACAGTTATTTACATCAACAGTATTTCACAGCACTCGCACAATACCACATGTCCAGTTCACATCACATTTGTCAAGCTCCAACACTTTCTTTTTTTTTCCTAATCAGTGAGTGTCCTTCCTCACTGTTCATTTTTTACTCCGAACCAGCTGACAATTCAGTTGTTTGTTCACCTGCAACAGTTCAACGTAACAAACTCAGGAACTGAGTGTCTAAACAGCCCTTCTGCAGGACGCAAACGTTTACTTGGTGTGCAGATTTGCAACATGCTTACATTTTCTTGCAGAAATTTTCCAGGCCTAAGAGTGAAAACATCAGAAACACTGCATTTAGCTTGAGATGCTTTTTGTGTTTGAGGGAAATGCATATGCACTGTAAACCTAGAGCTTCAGGCTGGAGCCCATGAACTAGCCTGTACTAAATGCTGAATTTGATGCTGTAGTCTGGTTTATCTGCTCAAGTAGTGCTAGAGCTGAATTTTTATGTTAATCTCCTGGGAATTTCATCACGTTACCCAAAACACTATGATTTGCATGTTAAGTGGCAGCATTTCAGTTCAATAACTGCTATAGGACTATGAGCAGGGTACTTCCTTTTGTTTAGTATAAACTGACTAGTTCTTCCCAGCTAGGTGGTCAAATTCGATTTATCTGGCTGTATTTTTCAAACTGAGCTGCAGTGGTGCTGCTTGTTCCACCTTAGAATTCTTATAGAATTTTAACCATGTTAAGGGTTGTATTTTTCACGTCTTATGTTGCCTTGACCATGTTTATCCCTCTTTGAGGAATGGCAGAATAGAATAAGCACATTTTAGTTCACAAAACAGACTATCAAGCTGCTGTAAATGTTAAAGCCATGGTGAACCGAATGAGATGTTCCTTCAATCCCAGAAGCTGAGCTCAAGATATTTAACATCTAATATGCAAGAACTGATCAGTATTATTTACTAACTGTAGTATTTGAACATGTTTCAGGCTGTTTTTGTAATGTTTTATTAAATGGGTATTTACCTCATATTAAAGTGGCTGTTTGTGTTGTCGCTTAGCAGTTGAACATGGCAAAAAAGCTAATGAATAAGCGTAGACTAGGTACAAGTCTTTTATTAACAATTGACAATGAAAATACCATACATTTTAGTTTATTTAAAAAAAAAAAAAAAGGATAACGCGAGCTGGATCAGAGCCCTTCACCCATGTAATAACTTAACGAGGGAAAAGACGGTGAATATCACCAGACTCATTTATAGTCTAGTGAGGAGAAAAAATTAAGGAAATTCTTACTGGTTAAGCAGGATTTACAATAGAGATGGAGTGATATATGTACAAGGAGCTGTCGATGTAACATTTTGATTGTTACAGCTGAATGATGAAATTTGGATCAAACAAAGTATTAGTGAGTGAAAAAGTAGCATATGTCAAATGACTAAAGTTGTACGCCTCTGCTGTCTGGATGCTAGAGGCTCAAAATGCACGAGATGCAGCTCAGGCGTCACTCTCCCCAGCAGTGGCACTCTGGACTTCCTCTTCCAGGATGGGCACAATGAGGTTGTCCTTAGACATGAGGTTGTACTTCATCACGAAACGAGTGAAGCGGTGACACAAGAAAGTCTCATTCTGTGGGAAAGAGATGATCTTTTCATAAAGTGTCTATTTGATGCTGTTCTCACTGTCCTTTTTAGGAAACTGTCTTAAGATGCCTCCTACTGACCACAGCAGGAAATGCTGTTTGAATAAACAGTAGTTGCTTCATCATGACCACTGTCATTATCAAGCTTAACATTCACTTGAAATTAACTCCAAAAACTCTGTGAGCTGCTTTCAAAGATGGGTAGCAATTCCTGATTGCAATTGCTTTAAGCAGAAAAATACAGCACACAAATATTTGGTAAAATACTTTTATTACCAAATAATTTTCATGACTGAAGTGTTTTCCTACTTTTCAAGTGGTTCAGGATTGTGAAATGATGCCTAAATAGGCAGTTCAACAACTTGACAATAGGCAGTGCAGTAGAAGCAAAGCCGATACTCCGTTTTATGAAATGTGCTTATGAATTACATAAATTATCTTGCTTACCTCATACTTGTCAAAAATCTGGCGGTGGTGAAAGTAAGCATGGGAGAAAATCCTATAGATGCGACGGCAAACCGAGCCCAGTTTGGCCACAGATGATTCTTTAATGCTGACACTATATGGAAAGCAGTGAAAGGGTCAATGGTTACATAAACATCAACAGCCTGTTTACAGCTAGAAAATCCTAGAAATGGAGTTTAGATCAAACCTTCACCTGACACTAGTCAAGTCCGTTGGAACTAAACTCTGCAGACAGACATCTCTAGGAGAAGCACTAAACACACCTGCTTTAATGGATTAGATGTTCAATAACTCACCGGCTGGGAAAATACTTGTTGCTGTTGAGAAGACACGCAGCTCCATCGAGAGTGTGCCTTGTGTAGTCAATGGCAGGGCACTGTGAGCCACAGTAAACAAACAAATCAACATAAGACACAATCATCCATATTTTAGCTTCTCTAATTCTGTCTGTTAAGAAATTAATTAGGGCTGCAACAACAAAAGGTTTGATCTAAACTAAACACAGAGGACACTCACCTCTTTGGGAGTTTTATGGGCAGCACACAGAAAGATCCACTGCTCAGTGGCAGTCATCTGGGTACACGTGTCAGGATGACACTCGTTCTATGGAGCACAGACATCACACAGTGTATCGTCTTCATAAATAGAGAACTGTAAAGACTTGCAACAACTAAAACAACCTGGTGTTTGACAAGGAGACAAACGTTACTTTTAAATGAATAGTGCTGTACAGACTACTTGAGTTATTTGTGATGTAACAGTGTAAGAAAGATAATTACCTGCAGTTTAACTGCTAAGCCATTCAGCTCCAAACAGAACTGTCTATATGTATATACAAAACATAATATTTACAATTTACTCAATTCAATAACTCCCAAGACACAGCAACAAAGAGCATCTGATAAACATTTTGTAGACCCACTTTATATTGTGTTAAACTACTATGTACTAACATTTAAATAAATAATTTGATACAATGTCATTACTGCCTTCATACATGTTTTATGCTGTATGTATATTTACAAAAACAGCATGTAATTACATCTATATTTAGACTGTTGACCATACCCCTTAACCTAACCATGCCACAAAACAGCAGCAAAAGCATTTTGCAATACAACTTTAACACGAAGTACAACTTTTTTTAAATGCAAGTACATAGTTCTGAAAGACACCTAATATATAGTGGGACCTATTTTGTCATCAAAAACTATATACATTATTTTAACACTAGATGACGTTAAGGATGAAATGAAGGATCCGAGTTGACATTCAAACTAATAATATACCTGAGATGTTCATATTTCCAAACCCCCTCATCCTGTCCCTCTGGAGGCTCCATAATCTTCTCTATGTTGGAACAATCTGAGCGGATGTTCTGCTGAATATACTGAAAATGGAAAAAAAAGAAAGAAAAACAACTACCAATAACAACATAAAAACCGGTCAAGAAGTGAACAAAATGACTTCAAAATATATTAATCTTAAGCAAATAACTTCAGTCTGTTCCACATATAAAGTTACTTCACTGCTTAAAAAGACTTACTGACAACAACAAAAATCTTTTAGTGCATTTTTGTCACTTTTTGGAGCTTGACAGCCCATGGCCACTGTCTGGAAAACAGCACCTCTCAAAAATCTCCTTTTGTGATTCATTGAAGTAAGAAAAGCTCTCACCTGTTGCACTGCCAGTGTGCTGTCCATCTCTTCAAAAGACTCATCAGACCAGTTATAGAAGTCCTGTTGGATAAAACGAGACCATCGTTTTAACAACACAGAAACAACACTAGAATCTTCTATACTGTTCAACTACTGTTAAGCAATTACTGTTGAGAGTACGTATGATACAACATATATCTTTCTAAGCTTTTGGACAATATAAGTTAGTTCCTACGTTGTAACCATAGTTTGTATCTATAGTAAAAACCATGGTAAAATGTCCCAATGTTTACGTCAATTTCTTGATGTATTAATGATTGAAAACAGCAGTGTAAAATAGCTGAAAGCTGCATGACTCGGATATAAAATAGTGTATTAAATTAATTGTGTTTTAAATTTAATAATTTAATGTATTTGAGCATCAGCTCAGCAGTGATGTTCATCCGGGTATTTCCAGACGGCTGCTAGCTGACTTCTGCTCGCCAAATAACTCGATCATGAAAACCTGCCATTTCGGACGCATCCTGCCTCACAGTTCACTACATATACAAGTACTTTCAAAAAGGAAAATAAATCCTATTATGACAAATTAAATTGAACAGGATATTCAGCTAAAACCCTGCATTTGGGAATCATTCGTTTTCTCGGCTAACTGCTAGCTTAGCTCTTTAGCATTTCTGCGGCTTCCGCTCGCAGGAGAACAAATCTTTTTTTTTATGTAATTTGCCATTAGAATATACTCTACGAAAAGATTAAGTGAGATTGAGTTTAGAGAACGCTTTAAAGTGTTATTCGCTGTTCATTTTACCTTCGCCTTAGTGCCTGGTCTATTCCTCCTCAGAACAGCTGTGCCCTCCGCCATGACCATCTCGACAGATTTAGAGTTTGATTGACAGCGCGCCCCCAATGGACGAGTAGAGCTACTACAGGAAGAACTCCGATACAGTGACCAAATATTGGACAACAAATGAAGTCACAATTAACATGTATTAATATCATTGTATTGCTGTATTTAAACTGTTTTAACTGACCTGGGGCCTGTTGTATTAACAGCCATTATGTTGATACTTAATACGAACTAGTCTGACCGACTAGCGGGCTAATCAGTCTCACTTTTATTCTCAAATTTGAATCAAAGATTTTATGCAACTGATTTAAAAAAAAAAAATGTTATGACCAGTCCTTAAAACAAACAAACAAAAACGGATGACTGTAATAAGCTGTTTATGCAGTTGGCCCCTGACCTGTGGGGAAACTCCAGGTGGCATCTCAAATGGCTTTCACTCCTTCCATCTAGCCACTCCAAAAAAAACCTGACTAATGGAGTTCTGCAGGGATTATTAGCCATGATTTATTTTTTAAAGGACTCAAGGACCTTCTTGTACAAACTCAAAGCCTTGGGTCCATTCATATTTATTCCAATTCCTACTCCTAACTTATCAGTGTTTTAACTGACCTGGGGCCTGTTGTATTAACAGCCATTATGTTGATACTTAATACGAACTAGTCTGACCGACTAGCGGGCTAATCAGTCTCACTTTTATTCTCAAATTTGAATCAAAGATTTTATGCAACTGATTTAAAAAAAAAAAATGTTATGACCAGTCCTTAAAACAAACAAACAAAAACGGATGACTGTAATAAGCTGTTTATGCAGTTGGCCCCTGACCTGTGGGGAAACTCCAGGTGGCATCTCAAATGGCTTTCACTCCTTCCATCTAGCCACTCCAAAAAAAACCTGACTAATGGAGTTCTGCAGGGATTATTAGCCATGAAGTTTATTTTTTAAAGGACTCAAGGACCTTCTTGTACAAACTCAAAGCCTTGGGTCCATTCATATTTATTTCAATTCCTACTCCTAACTTATCAGACTGTCACTGTGTCACTTTAGCTATGATTTGGAAAGCACATATAATCCTAAATGATCCAGATCACCCACTCCATCTGTTTTTTTATTCCATTTCCTTCTGGCCGAAGGTATAGATTACCGATGTGCAGGAAGACTAACTACAGTAAAAGTTTTGTTCCTATAGCTATACGTGCTTTAAACACATAGGAAATCAGCCATCATCTTACACTCTTGCATTTGTTGTGATTTTTTTAATTGTATTGTGATAAGTTCATATGTACTGTGCAGTTGTCTTTGTGTTAGATATGTACCCACTGTGAAAATTAATTTCCTCTCTGAAGACAAATCAATGATCTATTCTATGCATTTTTTTTATTTAAATGATAGCCACAGTAATCCAAAATTCATAGTGTGCTACCAAATATTTGTTTGTTTCTTTCTTACGCATATTCATTAATAATACTGTAGATATGCACCTACTGATTATTCTAAATCAAGTCGAATAAGAAAAAGCCTCTTTTTATATTTAAATTTTTTTTAATGAATAAAAATGTCATGGCAGTTGAAAAACACTTTTATTATATAATTGTGATAAAAAGGTCTAGGAGTCTGGTTACTTTCAGAAGGCACTGTACAATAATTATTTTAGTTATACCTTCTGATCACATCCTGCAGCACATATTCATAACTCAAAAGGAAATTATTCAGGGAATAAAAAGTTATTCTGTAAAACACATTAATTTTCAACCCCTATAATAATTAGTTCACTAATTACTTTATAATCACAATTTTAAAAAAATCCATTATAAACTTCTAGAAAGTTTGAATTAAAGAACACAATTCATACTTGACCAAACACTAAAACGAACCGCTCATGAATATGGAATATAAAGTAATTGCAATTCATTTTGTGTGTATCCTAATACACACAATTTAGAGAGTCCATTTCCATGATTCAGCATTCACATGTTCAATTCCAAACTGTTCCATGAAGAAGCAAGATGAAACATGCTCGAAAACTCTCCAATGTGGCTGAATTACAACAATTCTGCATAGATGAGTGGACCAAAATTCCTCCACAGCGCTGTAACAGACTCATTGCAAGTTATCGCAAACGCTTGATTGCAGTTGTTGCTGCTAAGGGTGGCCCAACCAGTTATTAGGTTTAGGGGGCAAACACTTTTTCACACAGGGCCATGTAGTTTTGGGTTTTGTTTTCCCTTAATAATAAAAACCTTCATTTAAAAACTGCATGTTGTGTTTACTTGTGTTATCTTTGACTAACATTTAAATTTGTTTGATGATCTTAAACATTAAAGTGTGACAAACATGCAAAAAAATAAGAAATCAGGAAGGGGGCCAACACTTTTTCACACCACTGTATATACATATACATATATATATATATATATATATATATATACAAAAACTCCATAAAATAGGTTTGAAAGTTGTGAGTTGTGAAAATTATGTGATGTAAGATCTTTATAAAGTGTGTGCCATTTTTCATTCGCGTTAAATTTATTATGGTGTCTAACCTGACTAAGGTCTATAATAAAATGACAAGAGCTTTAAAATGGGCTAAATAATGGATAAATATTCATTTATAGTAAGAAGTACATAATGAAAAAGTAAAAACAAATCGATCATTTGATCTAATCATGGCAAAATGTTCTAACCTTATCATCAAGAATAACTTTAGTTCCTCCATACTCCGGCAGCAGAACTTTATCCCCAACATTGACACAGACAGGTGTTACTTTCCCATCCTAAAAAACAGACAGCATTTAAACTCTGAGGTACAGCCTCTATCTCACACACTGTAAAGAAATGCTTAAATCAGAAAGTGTAAAAAAAACTACCTTGTTGGTGGATCCAGGACCCACTGCTAACACTGTAGCCTGCAGCACTTTGGCTTGAGACTTCTCTGGAATCATGATGCCTCCTTTTGTCACAGTCTCTGCAGCTAGCCGCTCTACCAACACACGGTCGAACATGGGAAGAAATTTCCGGAAAGCCTGCTTTGGGGCAAAGGCATACTTAGTACAGTGTAGAAATAATCAATGCATGTTTTGCAACGCTACAAAGCAGCGTTCCAAATATTTACCACTAGGGGGCATTACAGACTAGCAAAGAGAAAATTATTTGCTTTTTTTGTCTTCCTTCTCTTCAGTTTTTGCTAAATTGTCAATCTATGATCAAAAATGTTAAAATAATATTAATCAAAAACTATTTAGGATACATTTACTTAAAAAAAGCAGGCCTCTAAGTAATGCTTTTCTAAAATGCACTACTATATGTTCTTGACTTCAGTTGACTTCTTAAAATCCTTGGTTTACCTTCTACACATAATTTTAGGCTACTAAATTACATAGATGCATACTTAAAACAGATACCTTGGAGAGAAAAAGCTCTGACCGTCACCGTTCACAAAAGACAAGAGTAGCTGCTTGTCCAAGAACAGATATATGTGTGTGTGTGTGTCCTTGAGTGAAGGTCATGTGTGAGGGAGAGTAGATGGGATAGGAGATGGTGAGGGTTAATGTGGGGGAGAAGAGAAGTTTGGAGGTTTTGTAAATGTTTACTATCCTTCTGAAGGACAAAAGGACAGGCAACATAATAAACCCCAAGGCTGAATGGTTAGGAATGTAGAAGATTCTAGAATAAATCAGTTGTGCATTTCGTCTGACCTCATAATACATTTAAAGGCAATTCACAATTTGTCACACGTCTTTCGTTATTGTCTGGTAACCAATAAAGTATAAGCATTTTTAATTAATATGCTATGGTAATTTATCAAAAAGGTTAATACAGACAAATAAACTGTCAACCTTTCTTAAGATAATATTTCATCTCTATGCCTCAATTTAACCGAAGACAAAAGAATCACAGTTACTGTACATCACAATGCACATGTGTTCGCCTCCATTCAAAATGACCCGGAAGTTCATATCTTGCTGAAACGCTATTGGTTGTAATGATCTTGGAGCCTAGCAGAGTGTGACAACCTGAAGTTATGATAATGGAAATATGTTGAGTTTTCACATGCAAGATGTTACTGATACCTGCAATACAAATACATTCTACGCGTGAACAGAAATTATCATTCTACAGTCTGGCATAAAATACAATTTTATTTGTTGTAAAATAAATATACCACCTTTTAAACGACACTTTTAAACAATACTTGTCTATAAACCAACGACTTGATAAGATTTCATGAAAGCAAACTGAGTTACATGTGAAATCACCAATCCTTCTCACAAACTCACAAACATTGCGTGTACTAAGTAACAAACTTAGCATCGCATCATTCTGTTATATTAACTCAGAGCACGAACCCATTCCTAACCGTGACCTTGCAGCTGCAATAGATGGAGGGTTATAAAACATTGCGCTATCTCAGTCACACAAGTCAAATAATTATAGAAACAACTCACTCAGCTTGATAAATTAACATACGCGTCTTACCATTTTAGCTGATCTTTATGAAATAGCGCGTCCGGCAGATCAGCATAAGACAGTCACACTGGGCCACTTCACTCCTGCGATCCACGTGAAGAAGAAATATCTGTCTGGAAGGGCACTGCGCATGCGCCGAAAGGTAATGTTTACCGACCCCCGTCCCGCAATCTAGAATATTCCTCGATCGCCTAAAACGTTACATAAAGACATTTGAATTTTTTTTACATGTTTCAAAGGCACTGTTAGTTTGGAAACCAGGTGTTTATATGCTTGACATAGCACTTAACGACTGTAATATTTTAAATTATTATTTATGGGTTTCAGTGCATAGAACAGTTACAAGTTATTCAAACGTAACGTATGGCGACAAAGAATGCAAAATTAAAGTGGATTACAAATAACAAAAGAAAGGTAGTGAAAAGCTACCTAAATAGGTACCTAAATAATAAAATAAATAATACTAACTCACTCTAAATACGAAATAAACAATTATACAACATAAATACAAATATATTGACTTATTTAAATTAATATGTTATACTTTTAACAAAATAAAAAAAAATTTAAAAAAAAGTAAAATGCAATATTTTTTCTTGTTGCACAATCTTGACCTCTGACGTCTTTTTTCTCCAATAGAATCTGCGAAAATTCTCGAACTTGACGCCCCGGAACGAGCATAAAACAATAATTTAATGGGCTATTTTAATTTATTTTATTGATATGTTCCATCAGTATAAACGAAATATGTTGAATGACATTTTAATCAAAAAAGCAAATGAAAGCATCTATGTATTTAAGAGCATAATACGTATCAAACGTTTGATAATATTGGGTTATTCAGATGCCAGGGCGGAGGGAGGTTACCCGGATGAAGAACACATGCGAGTTCAGCGTAACTGCAGCAGCTCTAAAGCGGCTTCTCTTCTTATATCATTCAGTCTGCTGTACTGACGGAGACGCGCATCCTTTCGTTTACCTCCAGATCACTCTGCAGTAAGTCAGTCATAGCATTCTCCTCATTTATAAAAGCCTATAAACATACTATACTGCATAACGCAATTTACTGGCCTGGTAATATAAAGATTAATGAGATCAAAGAGGCAGATATGGAACGTAACATCGTTTCGTAATGCTAGAACTGTCGGTTGGTTTTGTGGAGTTGTAAGTAACATTGTGCAATTAGCTGTCATGTAATCCTGTCGTATTCTAGAACTATACTTTTATGGTAGATGCTGATTATGTTCGTCAGAATAACTGGCATGAGAGCAACAAATATATTATGCATATCACATGCATTGCTTGGTAATTATATATCTGCTGCCTTGATTACTGCTTTATTAGCAAAATAATAAAGTTCAGTCTTAAGTGAAATGAAGTGGTGATTATAGCTTGCATGCTAACTATAACAAATTATATGATATTGAGGCCTAAGAATTTTACGTATGGAATATTTCATCGGTGTCAGGGCTACAAAGGTTAATTTTGCTGAAACAAAAGGAAAACCCCGGGAACTTTGTAACTTGAAGGCATGGAGATGAAAGGGATCATTTCCGTCTCTGTCGTGACGCGGAGTGATTTTGACCTTGTGACGCCCTGAACACACGTGGGGTAGATGAGAGACCCACTATGACGCGTGTACTTTACATGATTAGTTCAGTTTCTTGTAATTATTACCTGTTATCCTTGCTTTTTAAAACTTTTCCCTTCTTTTTTATGGTTGATGATCTGGCTTTTCGAAACATTGTAGTAACTGTCCAGGCGAACCATGCCAATGATGATTATCTCCTCATATTTTCTAGAGCATGTTTTAACGGAAAGCTTTGATATATTTGACACAATATGATGAGGATAAGTTAATGAATGGAGATGAAAGGGATCATTTCCGTCTCTGTCGTGACGCGGAGTGATTTTGACCTTGTGACGCCCTGAACACACGTGGGGTAGATGAGAGACCCACTATGACGCGTGTACTTTACATGATTAGTTCAGTTTCTTGTAATTATTACCTGTTATCCTTGCTTTTTAAAACTTTTCCCTTCTTTTTTATGGTTGATGATCTGGCTTTTCGAAACATTGTAGTAACTGTCCAGGCGAACCATGCCAATGATGATTATCTCCTCATATTTTCTAGAGCATGTTTTAACGGAAAGCTTTGATATATTTGACACAATATGATGAGGATAAGTTAATGAATGAATGAATGAATGAATGAATGAATCAGGCAAAGATTCAATAACGCTTTCAGGTACCAGCGGGGGCAAAGACTAATTTTTGGCATCCGGATTTGTTCTCATGTGACCTCGACACAAGACTTGAATTTTTTTTCAGTGGCTTGGGGGAGGGGGTGGGGAGGTTGAATATCATGCAGTTTGAATATAATGCATAAAATGTCTCTAATGCCTGGCAGATATCAGATTTCGACGACTATCAGGCATCAGCCAATCAAAAACGTCTCTCTGCCAACATCAACCAATGCCAATGCCAGGGAATTTGGGCGTGGTTACCTGTTTGTCTAATCAGTTGTTCTCAACCTGGGGACCAGGAGGAAATTCCGAGGGTGCCTCAAGATGATTATTTTAAATGACAAAACAACTAAAAATAAATAGATTTTATTTAATCTTCCTATGGCCTTGGAAAACATGAATACATGAGAAAGCCTCATTCTTAAAGTGTGATTCCAGACTTCTAAAAGTCATGTAAATTAATAAAATCGTGTGGGCATTTTTTTTTAATAAAGAATATGTTTTTCTCTAAAATTTCTAAAAACTCTAAAATATTTTCCAGGTAGAAGTTGAGTAGAATTTTTTTATTTTTTAAATCCTTATTCTTAATGCTTCTCTAGTAAATCACAAAAAAACTGGATAAAGGGCCCTCGAAAATTGGGCCCCTGGTCTAAATGATTTGAGTGTTTCTGAAAACCATCTTTATTTTTTTATTCTGATGAAGTAGAAATCACTTCTATCACGAATAACCTTTTTTTTCTGAAAAAAAAAGTTCTGCTTCTACTCTTCTTCTCATAGAAATGCTGCGTTTACCCAGTGTGATGAAACAGATGAGGCCAGTGTGCAGGGCGCTGGCCCCACACCTGACCCGTGCGTATGCCAAGGACGTCAAGTTTGGAGCAGATGCCCGGGCACTGATGCTCCAGGGCGTTGACCTGCTGGCTGATGTTGTGGCCGTCACCATGGGACCAAAGGTATGCTGAGTTCAATGACTGTTCAGTTGCCAGGGGAACAGCTAATATGTTACTCCTCTTAAAGTCACATTTGTAATCATTAATGGCAGAAACAACTAGATTTGCCTCTCTCCTTCAGGGTCGCACCGTTATCATTGAACAGAGCTGGGGCAGCCCCAAAGTCACCAAAGATGGTGTCACAGTTGCCAAAAGTATCGACCTGAAGGATAGGTATAAGAACATTGGGGCGAGGCTGGTACAGGATGTGGCCAACAACACTAACGAGGAGGCTGGAGACGGCACCACAACCGCCACAGTTTTGGCCCGTGCTGTTGCCAAGGAGGGATTTGACACCATCAGCAAAGGCGCCAACCCTGTGGAGATCCGTAGAGGAGTCATGATGGCAGTGGAAGAAGTCATCAATGAACTCAAGAAACTCTCCAAGCCGGTCACAACACCAGAGGAAATTGCTCAGGTAAGAAGTGCCCTATAAAACGAGCACTAAATATGTTGTTTGTTTTTTTACTTTTTGCTTCTGTCAATCTTTCTTTGGTATAGGTGGCCACTATTTCTGCCAATGGAGACACTGAAGTTGGTACCATCATCTCCAATGCTATGAAGAAAGTGGGCCGCAAGGGTGTTATTACAGTGAAGGTAGCTGCTACAGTAGAAGTAGTATTTAGTTCAGGTGGAATGATGGTTTGATCCTTAAAATACCTCACACTTGGGCTGTAATTCTTGTTTAAAGGATGGTAAAACCCTACATGATGAGCTTGAAATCATTGAGGGCATGAGGTTCGACCGTGGCTACATTTCTCCATACTTCATCAACACAGCTAAAGGTGTGTGTTTTGTATTAGAAGGTCATGTGTTTATACCAGTATTAATGCTGGAATGACAACAGCATATATTCTCTGTTTGCAGGCCAGAAGTGTGAGTTCCAGGATGCTTACTTGCTTCTGAGTGAGAAGAAGATCTCCAGTGTACAGAGCATCGTGCCAGCACTAGAAATTGCCAACCAGCATCGCAAGCCTCTGGTCATCATTGCTGAAGATGTGGACGGAGAGGCACTCAGCACTCTGGTCCTCAACAGGTTTGTCTCTAAAAACACCTTAGCACAACAACATGAAGTTCGCAAGAAATGCTTGGAATGGATAAATACGAGATAGAATAAGGTTTTATTAAACTGATTTCCAGAAATATATATTCTGAATATGGAATCTCCAAACAGCTTTCAGAATATTTGTCCTTTTTTTTTTTTTTTTTAAGTTTTTTTTTTAACTTTTTGAGGTTTAAGAATAGCCTGTTATTTAAAGATTCTGGGTTAAAGGTCAATGCTAAAACTCACCAACAGGTTGAAGGTTGGACTCCAGGTCGTTGCAGTCAAGGCTCCAGGATTCGGTGACAACAGGAAAAACCAGCTGCAGGATATGGCCATTTCCACTGGAGGCACGGTATGTGCCTAGGCTTTTGTCTTCATCTGAATTCATTACATTAATTAATAGCTCGCTTAAAATATCTAATTTATGTAATGCTTTAACATATTGTATTGTGGCATGTATCATCTCATGTGGTAGTTGCCACAGCCCATAATAACATCATAAAGTCTGTTAACAAACCTGATCTGTGTGTTTTCAGGTGTTTGGTGGTGAGGCTGTGGGTCTGGCCATTGAGGATATCCAGATACATGACTTTGGCAGAGTCGGAGAGGTCATCGTGACAAAGGATGACACAATGCTCCTCAAAGGCCACGGTGATCCAGCAGCCATTGAAAAGTGTGTGAATGAGATCGCTGAACTGCTGGAGAGCACAAGCAGTGACTACGAGAAGGAGAAACTCAACGAGCGTCTGGCCAAGCTCTCTGATGGAGTGGCTGTGATTAAGGTATGAAAGCAGAAAGCGTGTAGCATCTTTTATTAGTATAATGTATACTTCATCATTATCCAAAATGATCATTCTCTTTATTAGGTTGGAGGAACAAGT